CATATACCATGCACAAAAACAATAGCAATAATACAAAATTTAAAATGAAGAGACCCCTGTGTGGTGGTTTGAATGAAAATGGTCCACATAAACTCACAGGGAGTGGCACTATCAGGCGGTGTGGCCTTGCTGGAGTAGGGGTGAACTTGTTGGAGGAAGTGTGTCACTAGGGCTGGGCTTTGAGGTTTCAAATGCTCAAGCCAGGCCCAGTGTCACCTTCTCTTCCTGCTGCCTGCTGATCCAGATGTGGGACTCTCAGCTCCCTCTCCAGCACCGTGTCTGCCTGCAAGCCATCCGCTTACCACCATGATGAAAATGGACCAAACCTTTGAACTGTAAACCAGCCTCTGTAACAATAAGTCTTCCCACCAAGCCGCCCGAGCCCTGCTGCCACGTAGGCACTTTCCGCCAGGCCACTCAAGTTCCGCCGCTACCACGTTAGGGTCCCAAGTAACACAGAGAAACTTATATTAGATACAAATGCTGCTTGGCCAATGACTAGGATTTCTCATCTGCTAGCTCAGTCTTAATTATCACAAATCTATATATTTTATAAGACTTACCTTATCAGACACCAGCGGCAAGTGTCCTGTCTTCCCGGGCTCACATGGTGACTCTGCCCTTTCTCCTGCCCTTCCCAGAATCCTCCTTGACTCCTAGTCCCACCCATCTTGCTTTCCTATTGGCCCACAGTACTTTATATATCAACCAATGAGACAGTCATACACCCGGAAGGACCTCCCCCATCAAGCCCCAATTAAATGTTTTCTTTTGTAAGAGTTGCCAGGGTCATTGCATCTCTTCACAGCATTGGAATACTAAGACAACCCAATCCCTCCTCTTGTACCTTTCCCTATTAGCAAGATATATTCTTTCAAAATCCCTTTCCTCTGCCTACTTTTTTCTTCACACCCTCAGTCAGATTGGGCCCTGAAGCTGCCCACTTTCTCTCAATTTATGATGCTTCTGAGAAAAATTCCCTATTCAGAAACATCTGGTGGAAAGAAATATTCTGAAATACCTATGAAGGTGTCAGTAAGGGCCAGCTTAAGCTGTGAATAGACTAAGGAGACATCATGGGTAAATGTTGTGGAGTATTATAACTATGTAAAGATGTGTTGCTTTTGTTTATGCTGCATTTGTTTAACTCTGTAAAGATGTGTTGCATTTGTTTCACCTTGCCTGCTAAGGCACCTGATTGGTCTGATTAAAGCTGAACAGCCAATAGCTATGCAGGAAGAGGGCTAGCTGGGGCTGGGGTGCAGAGAATAGTAGTAGGAAGAGTCTGGGGAGAGACACACATGCACACATGGAGTAGGACATACAGAACGAAAGAAAGGTAAAAAGCCCTGAATCAAAAATAGATGAAGAAAAACAGTTTAATATAAATTAAAGAAAAAAAGCTAGCCAGAAACAGGCATAAGCTAAGGCTGAGCATTCATAATTAATAAGAAATCTCCACCTCATGATTTGGGAGATGGTTGGTGGTCCCCCAAACCTGCTACAGGTAAAAGCCACCTGACTCAAGCAGGATCAGTACAGATTAGTGTGTGCACTGAAGAAGCCATGTGTGGTTTGTTAGACAAATGTCATCATGGAAGAAGGGTTTGGGGAGAATCCTCTTATGCCATTGCTGAGGAGGTAGAGGCTATGGCAGAATGAGGCTGGAGGTCACTGCTCTCTTTCTGCAGCTTACATTGAGACCCTAGATCTCTGAATATCTGCAGAATCTCTGCAGGGCCCCATCCTGTAACAACATAGGGGAAGTGGGTGCTTCATCTGCTCCTCATACCTTTATCTCTGTTATCTGGATACTTGGAGGACAAGGTTAGCCTCTCTCTCTCTCTCTCTCTCTCTCTCTCTCTCTCTCTCTCTCTCTCTCTCTCTGTGTGTGTGTGTGTGTGTGGGGACAATAAACACCAAGCTGGAAAGAAAGTCATTCCGTGTGCTTCTCCTAGTGGCTCTGTCACCTTCCCATTCTTCACATATGGCCCAGCCTGGAAGAGTGTTCAGCTTCATGCTCTTGCCAAGTTGACTCTGCTCAAATGCTGGGTAAAAGCGATCTTGCTCTGTGAATTCTTGATCACTCAGTGATCCCTTGCTGACTCTTCTCAGGGTGTGGAACTGTCTCATTGCACTTAGGGATCTTGTGACATTTGATCTTGTGACATCTCTCAGCTAGCCACAGTGAAAGTGAGAGATGGTACCCCCACCCCACACACACTCAGGCCTTCCTATTTTCAAATGTTTTCTCATGGGGCTTTGCATAAGACCCGAACTTTTTTTTGTAGGAGTCCCAATGTTGATTTTTCTTTTATGCAAAACACTGACACTGTTTTTATTTGTTTTGTTTTGTTTTTATATAAGCATCCTCAGAAAGCAAGCAAAGTGTTTCCCACTTTGGTCATTTAGTATTTTGTGCCTATGTGTCTCAAAGCTGGCCCATTGCAATTACGAGTTCATCCCAATGGGCTAGACTCATGGGAAAGACACGGGAAAGAGAGACCCTAAGGTTTTCTCACTTCCAGTTTGAGATGGGACAAGAGTTGCTGTTCTAGGGAGCCTGATTCTAATTTGTTCAGGATAGGCTCTGGAATGAGATGGGCTAGACTCTCGCCCTTGACTCCCTTAGCTTTGTGAAGATGAACTGATATACTGTTTCTGTGTACAGAAGCTTATAACTTCTCCAAGTTCGCTTTCCTTACTTGAAACTGGGTATTATAGAACTTCCTCATAGAACTGCTAAACATTAAACTAGTGAAGACTTGTAAAGCATTTAAAATACTATCTATTACACAACAAGTCATCAATAAAGGAAGTTGACTTTTTTTTCAAAAACAGGGTTTCATGCAGCCCAGGCTGGCCTTGAACTTGTTTATGTAGATGAGGATGATCCTGAACTCCTCATCCTCCTGCCTCTAATTCTCAAATGCACAGGCAGGAGCCACCACGCCTGGCCAGGTTTATTATTTTACTGCTTGAACTGTGAGGACCAAGTGATGTACTCTATCTGAAGTAGTTTTCATGGTGTCTATGTAGCTCAATGTTAACTTAAAAACAAGCCGGGTGTGGTGGCACACGCATTTGATCGATCCCAGCACTTGGGAGGCAGAGGCAGGCAGATCTCTGTGAGTTCAAGGTCAGCCTTGTCTACAAACCAACTTCCAGGACAGCCAGGGTTATACAGAGAAACTCTGTCTTTAAAAGCAAGCAAACAAAAAATTGTTGGATGTGGTGACACACACCTTTAATCCCAGCACTCGGGAGGCAGAGGCACTGTGAGTTCAAGGCCACCCTGGTCTACAGAGAGTTCTGGGACAGCTAGGATTACCCAGAGAAATCCTGTCTTTAATAACCAAAACGAATAACAAAAAACCAAGACCCCAAAACTAAAATGAACAAAATACCCCCATATTACCAAGGCAGTGACTTTCTAGGTTCTAGGAGATTTTTTTTCTAAAGAAAGGGAAGGCCTGGCAGAGGAGATGTCGCTTCTGGGTCTGGAAAATAAAGAAAACAGACAAGCTGATACAAGCTTGGGCTGGGGAAGCCTGCATGATAGTAGATGTTGGCAAAGATGTCTGTCCCCTGCATACTGTCATGTACCTAAATTATTTCCCTTTGTAGGTTTCACAAGCTAATCTGGGGAAGCTTTGGCAGTGGGCTTCTGGAAAACCCTGGGGTTATTGCTGGTGGAGGAGACAATGGCATGCTTACTCTGTACAGTGTGGCCCACATCCTTTCTTCAGAAAAGGAGCCCTTGATTGCCCAGAGACAGAAACACACAGGGGCTGTCAGGGCCCTGGACTTTAATCCCTTCCAGGTACTGTGTCATAGTGTGAAGGCATGGCACAGCATGTCTGAATGGAAGAATTCTCTTGTGGCTTCCAGGCTGTAGCTCTGAACCCTTCCAGGCTGTAATGGAGGAGACTCTGGGTTTCCCAGATGTGGGTCACCTCCCTCTCTCCTTCTGAGATAGGAGGGGGTCTTTAGAAATACCTTTTATATTTATATTTATATTCATACAGGGCAATCTCCTGGCATCAGGAGCCAGTGATTCTGAAATCTTCATTTGGGATTTGAACAACCTGAGTGTTCCAATGACCCCTGGATCCAAGTCACAGGTGAGGAGGCTCCCTCCAGCCTGGGGCTGCAGCTTAGTGTGGACAGCCGGTTTTCCCAAGTTTTGAATTCTGGAGCCTGCAGAGTACCAGAGATTTCAGGCTTTACCACTGGAGGGCAATAAAACGCCACAGACAGACACTCCACTAGTCACCTGAGAGTGAGGAGAGGGGTGTGCCTAGCAGTTAGTTCATGGTGGTCATTAGCTTTCAAAGAATTTCTGAAAGGAAGTGAAGGGCGGGGGGTGGGGTGGTGATCAAAAGACACCAAGAAAGGCAAGGAGCGATTATTTATCACAGTTGGGGGGTATAAACCTGGGTAGGCCCTGAGCTCAATAGAGAAAGATCAAGCGTGGAGCCCTCGGCACACCAGCATCCTTTTTGTGGGGAGGGACAACCTCGCCTCTGCATGTGGCTCTCAGGTTTGGTGTGCCTCTAGGTAGGCCTCTGTCAGTTTGTAGCTCAGCTTATCTTCTTGATTTTGTCTGTCTTGTGCTTTCTTTGAAGTAAATGTGAGTTGGCTAGCACTTGGTACCCTGAAAGCTACACTAGTTTTTCCTCTGCTTCACATTTTTTCTGGGGTTCTTCATATCTGTTTTCTTCTCTCAGATTTCTCCTCTTCTCCTTCTCTGTCCTGGGGGTGGTGGTGGTGTAATTTTGTTGACTCTATACTTTCAAGAGAATTTAGGTGTAGAGCTAAACCCAAGTGTGCCAGCTGTTCCCTCCCACTTCCATTCCAATATCTTTTGTTTTAAAGATTTTATTTATTACTATATATGCAACATTCTGCTTCCATGTATATCTGCACACCAGAAGAGGGCACCAGATCTCATAACGGATGGTTGTGAGCCACCATGTGGTTGCTGGGAATTGAACTCAGCACCTCTGGAAGAGCAGTCAGTGCTCTTAACCCCTGAGCCATCTCTCCAGCCCCCCCCCAAATATCTTTTTAAAAAGCAAATTTATTTATTTTATAGCCCAGCCAGTTTCTCCTCCCTTCTCACCTCCTAGTCCCCGCCCCTGTACCCTCTGTTCCCATCCCCCAATCCACTCCACTCTTTCTTCCTCCATTTCTGTTTAGGAAAGGGCATGTCTCCCATGAGTATCAACAGAACAAGGCATATCAAGTTGCAGTAAGACTAAGCACCGCCCCATGTATTAAGGCTGGGCAAGGCAACCAGACAAGTAGAAGAATGCAAATAGATCTGTATCTATCACCCTGCACAAAACTCAAGTCCAGGTGGATCAAAGACCTCAACATAAATGTAGATAAACTGAACCTGATAGAAGAGAAAGTGGGAAACAGTCTCAAACACTAGCACAGGGGACAACTTCCTGAACAGAGAGCACCAATAGCACAGGCACTAAGATGGACAATTAATTAAGTGGACCTCATGAAATCAAAAAGTTTCTATAAGACAGGTCGCCATCAATAGGACAAAACGACAGCCTACAGAATGGGAAAAGAGTATTGTACCAATATCTTAGAGCATCTTTCTGGGAAAATGTGCCCTCAGCTCCATAGGCTGTCTTAGTGGGAGGGACCTCTTGCCTCCTTTGGGCTTGGTGTGGGTTGTTGGGAGGAATAGACTGGTAGGTGTCACTTTATCCGGTTATGACGGGTTGTCATTTTCACTATCTTGCCTCAGAAACCCCCAGAAGACATCAAAGCACTGTCTTGGAACCGCCAAGTCCAGCACATTCTGTCTTCTGCTCACCCCAGTGGCAAGGCAGTTGTGTGGGATCTTAGGAAGAATGAACCCATCATCAAAGTCAGTGACCACAGCAGCAGAGTGAGTGGTGGCCAGAGCACAGGCTGGGACTCTGGATGCTCTTTCCCAGGCCAGGGATCCATTCTCAAGTGTTGGCAGTGTGGACTCAGCCCCATAGCAGAGTTCCCATTAGAGTGAATGCTTGGGAAGCTAACTAGCTGATCTGGATTCTTACAGTGTGCCTTGCTTGTTCATGGTCATTATTTATTCCCTGGTTGTTACCAGCCAGAGAGACGAGACCAAAGGTAACCTTGGGGTAGTCTCATTCCAACTGGGCAGAAGGGGTTCATAGTCTGAGAGGTTAGGTTATGTCAGCCCTCATAATCTACTTTGTCCACAGATGAACTGCTCAGGCCTGGCTTGGCACCCAGACATAGCCACCCAATTAGTGCTGTGCTCAGAAGATGACCGGCTCCCAGTGATTCAACTGTGGGACCTGCGCTTTGCCTCCTCACCCCTGATGGTGTTGGAAAGTCACAGCAGGTAGATCTCAAACCCATCCACATATCTAGGCCTCCTTTTAGCTACTAATACCTTCCATGTTTTCAAAGCCATTGCAGAAAACACAGCCAATACTAGCTTTATCTCAAAGAGGAGTTCCTTTGGAGCCTGGACCTATAGAGCAGAGCCTGGAATTCCATATTCTTCCAGGGATGGGGTCATGAGAAATATTTGAGAATATTAACCCTTGTGTTAGTTTCTATCACTAAAATAGCTACCTGGAGCAGTTAACATGTAAAGAAAATGCTTTGTTCTCTGTTCATGATTGACCAGTGTCCTTACTTTAGGGACTGTGGTGTGGCCATCAATTATGGCAGGAGTATGCAGGGAGCAAAGCCATTCACCTCATGGCCAGGAGCAAAAGAGATCTAGGAAGAGGCCAGAGTCACAGCATCTTCTTCAGAGCCGTCTGTCAGAGGCCCACAGGCCTCTGGCTGCCTCATCTGTCCCCAGGGATCACTGGGGGCTTCACTCCTTCCCAGTGACCCCTCTCTGAGGACCAGACTTTAACATGGAGATATTTAACACTGGGATTGAAGTGTTATGCTACCATGCCCAGCCTCAGTTAACATCTAAGGTATAAACTGTGTAGTGGCTTATGCCTCTAACCCTGGCACTCAGGAGGATTGCTGGGAATTCAAGGTCAGCCGGGCTACATAATGAGAATGAGGCGAAGCCTGAGCACGGATGAGATCCTGTTTCATAAAAACAAGGCAAAGAAAACCCAAAGTATAGCAATCCCCTCGGGAGAATCCCAGGTTCTTCTCTGAGAACAGTGCTCATTTCTCCAAGTGGGGAGCCTCCTGCAAAACACCTTAATAAGCGACTTGGCTTCCTATGTGTTCAGGAAGACCTGCCTCTGAAGCTACAGTTCTTAGATCCACAGCAAAGTAAGCAGCTCCACACTGTATTCTAACCAAGGGATCAAGTTGCCTTCATTCCTCCTTTAGGACTCGTGTGTGTGTGTGTGTGTGTGTGTGTGTGTGTGTGTGTGTGGTGTGCACACATACATGCATGCATACATGTGGTATTCATGTGTGTACATAGACCACATGTGTTTTGAGACAGAGTCTCTCGCTGAGTCTTAAGCTCTCCAATTGGGCAAGGTCAGTTGGCCAGTGAACCCCAGGGATCCTCGTGATTCTGACTGCCCAGTGCTGGGATTGTATGTACAACCTTGCCAAGCTTGGTTACATGGGCACGGGGATCAATCTCAAGACCTCATGCTTATATCTGACAGATACTTTTCACAGCCTTGTTTTCTTCTTTGACAAAGTCAGCTAGAGCATCCACTTTGAAGAGCTGAGCCTCCTCTACAATGTATGAGGCCCCTACTCAGAGCTAGCATTCAGCAAACATTGTTTCCTCTTTGTTTTCATTTTTAGGGGGATCTTGTCGATGTCATGGAGCCAGGCTGATGCTGAACTGCTGCTCAGCAGTGCCAAAGACAACCAGATCTTCTGTTGGAACCTGGCGAGCAGTGAGGTAGGCTGGTTCTACATGGTTGCTGTGATGGAGATGTGGTGGCAGAGGGATCCCAGTCATGTGACCTAAGTCAGCGTTTCCTGGAGTGTTCCTAATGGTTATGCTCTCACGGCAGGTGGTATACAAGCTGCCCACACAGAACAGCTGGTGCTTTGATGTCCAGTGGTGCCCCCAGAACCCTCCTGTGTTCTCTGCGGTCTCCTTCGATGGCTGGATCAGTTTGTACTCTGTGATGGGTAGGAGTTGGGAGGACCAGCACATGAGGCAGGCTGACAAGGTTTGAAGGGCTTGGTAGAAAGTGCTGGAGGGAGGAGCTGTCTTTGTTTTAGGGAAAAGAGAAGGACACATAGCCTGGGAAGAAACGGGAGCTGTTGAAGAGAGGGAGCCAGGCTGTGGGGTTTAGAGGGTTATATCTTGCATTGGTACCCGACTTCCTGGGATGCAGTCAGTTTCTGCCACAATGTAGAGGAAACCGTTATCTTAACTCTTGTTATTCACTCTGAACCTCTGTTTTGGGTCTGTTATCTCCTAGTGTGGACTCACATATCCCCTCTCTGCTGTATGTCCTCCTGTCATCTCCCAGTGTGGACTCACATATCCCCTCTCTGCTGTATGTCCTCCTGTCATCTCCCAGTGTGGACTCACATATCCCCTTCTCTGCTGTATGTCCTCATGTCATCTCCCAGTGTGGACTCACATATCCCCTCTCTGCTGTATGTCCTCATGTCATCTCCCAGTGTGGACTCACATATCCCCTCTCTGCTGTATGTCCTCATGTCATCTCCCAGTGTGGACTCACATATCCCCTCTCTGCTGTATGTCCTCCTGTTATCTCCTAGTGTGGACTCATATATCCCCTCTCTGCTGTATGTCCTCTGTCATCTCCCAGTGTGGACTCACATATCTCCTCTCTGCTGTATGTTCTCCTGTCATCTCCTAGTGTGGACTCACATATCCCCTCTCTGCTGTATGTCCTCCTGTCATCTCCTAGTGTGGACTCACATATCCCCTCTCTGCTGTATGTCCTCCTGTCATCTCCTAGTGTGGACTCACATATCTCCCTCTCTGCTGTATGTCCTCCTGTCATCTCCTAGTGCGGACTCACATATCTCCCTCTCTGCTGTATGTCTTCTTTGTGTCACACTCCAGTTAGACTTTGCATACAGCTTTCCAAGAGGCTTGCACATCTGAGTCTCCCATTGACTTTCACTGTTATCCCCAGCCCCTAGACTGTGCGAGTCTTCATTTCTAGATCAAACTGGGCATCACAGGGATTCATTCCCAAATTACAATTGTAGGTAGAGTTCCTTGCTAAGATGTCACTCAGTGTTGGTGACACAGGTGTCCTTTCCCTCCAGATTTCCTCTTCTTCTGGCAGAGGCCAGCCTCTCCCACTGATGCAGGTGTCTGAGCAAGTGGCCCCAGCACCATTATTAACACCTCCCTTGAAGAAGCCTCCCAAGTGGATGAGAAGACCAGCAGGTGTTTCATTTGCTGTAAGTGTCCGCCGTGTGGCTGTGTGAGTCATGTTTGTATTCAGTGTCTCTCATGCTCAGTGAGGAGCTAGTTCTGGTGACTTGTTCTCCGTGCCTGTCTCACTCCACCTCTCAGGCAGTTGGTCAATCTGGCTTCTCCCCTCACTGTCACCATTCTGCAACCTGATGGACCTGCCAATCCTATCTAAGAGAAATCTACTGCTTTAGTCCTCATGCTTATGACAAACAGCCTGAAATTCTGAGATTTCTGTAACTCTTAAATGTTTGGACTAGTAACAAGGAAGGAAAGAAAGCATGTAAATTTTATCCTGTCGTTCTGCTGCTCAAAAGTTTTGAGCTTCCCCTGCCTTGTAGACTTAAGGCTATATATACACAGGGCTCATTTGCCTCCCCAGTTTCTTTTTCTGTCTCGTTCTCAGAAGTCCCTTGTAGTTCAGCTACATATGACTCGTTCCTACCCTATGAACAACTCCTCCTCACCTCTCTTGTGTCTTATCCTACTGAATCCTACAGTGGACTTTAAAGACCTCCTGCTTAAATACCACCTCCTCCATGTCACCTGTTCTTAACCTTAGTTCCCATTAGCCTCCATTCTGTAGAGGTCTGTATTCCTGTAAGTGTGTGTGTGTGTATGTGTGTGTGTGTGTGTGTGTGTGTGTGTGTGCGCGCGCGCGTGTGTGGAGACCCTGCTAAATAATAGATTCTGTAAGGCTAGAAAGTGCCTTGTTGATTTTCATATCCCCGGAGCAGAACTTTCTAAACTCTAATGTGAATAGAGATCACTTGAGAATCTTACTACAACTTGGATTCTGTTTCAGTGGTTCTGATATAGGGATCAAGATTTCCAACTTTCTAGCAAGTTTTCAAGTGCTATCTTTGCTGCTAGTCTGAAGACCAACACTTTGAGTAGCAAGGAGGCCCTGATGCAACTAACACACTGCTTTAGTATTAGATTTGATTTGAAAAAAAGATGAGACATTTTTGTGTTTAGAGTCAGCAGTTTTATTGCAAAGGCATGACTTAGGGATGTCTTTATAGAAGGAGAGTGGGCACTGCGGATGTAGCTTGTTTAGCATGCCCACATCCCTGGGTTTAAATGCCTCACACCACTGACTCCAACAAAAATGGCAGGGGCAGTAAGGTGAAGAGTTCTTGTCATATTTCTGTTGCTAATTAGTTAGGTAACTCTGAAGTGCCATTTAACCCCTCAGGACATCAGTGTTGTTGTTTGCTGCAGCTCCAGGCAATGAAACATGAACCACAAAACTCAACACAAACCATGTGGAGTTTATTGTGAAAGGGAACAAAGGGAGGGTTGGTGTCGGCCAACCAGGAACAGAAATGAAAAGAGAGAGAGCAGGTGGAAGGTGCTTGCTTCAAAGGGAAGCTTGCACATGCAGATAGAGTCCTTATGTGCCGTGACATAGCCATGCAGCACAGGGCCCTTTGAGCTGTCTAAGTTTCTGCCTGCATGCCAGTGTGAGTACCCTGCCAGTTGTCAGGGGGTGGGGCCAACTTAATGCCAAGATATCAACAATCAGTATCTTAACGTGTAAGACAGTAGTAGTAGTGCCTGCCCAGCATTCTGTAACATTGTCAAATACTATGCAAGTTATAATAAAAGACTGTTGAACACTAAGCTGTGCTCTAAAGTTTGTTCTGTAAATGACATAATTATGACTAGAAAATTCTCTAAGCAAGTGGAATTTAGAAGGGAAGATAATGACTAATTAGGGAGTGGAGCAGTGTGTCAATCTTGGTAACACATTGGAATAACTTGAGGGTTTCAAAAATTACTGGTGCTACTCTCACCCAGCTCCTGGTGTCCTTGTCTGAGGTGTGACCTGGTGACTGGAGAGCTTCTCAGAAGTTTTACTGTGTGGCTGAGATTGGGAATGTTTGGAGAAAGGATTGTTAAACCTCTGATTTTGTACCATCTGTTTGATGTAAAATGTCAGATTTGGCTGGCTGGATGCCTCAAGTGGAGTGGTGTTGTAGGTAAAGGCACAGAAGTGGAGATGAAGCAGTCATTTTTGGAATGTTGAGCAGTCACATAAATAATCAAGAACAAAGATGCTGGGGTAGACATGTTTGGCCCTAATTTTGGGGGGTTTTGTGCATGCCAGAGGAGTGTAAGTGATCTCCCGTGATCTCTCAAACCATTATACAATCTAGAGTAGCAACAGGGTTGTGTGAGCAGTAGGGCAGGCTCTAAGCCTTGGATTGGAAGAATGGAGAAAGACAAAGGCTAACAAGTCTTCTAGCGATGTAGGTGTGCTAACAAAGGGCGTAGGAAGAAGAGTACCTGAATAGGAGACATTGAACCAGGAGAGGGAAGACAAGCTTAGCTATGGTGGTATAGATAGCCTATGATAGTACCGCCTTGCTTGCTCTAGGTGCCTGAGAAATGGTGGTACTAGGACTGAGAAGTGGGAGAGAGTACCAAGTAGTGATATTTTATCTTGTCATGGTAAGACGGCTATAGGACCCATTCCTGTTCCATCCTAGAAACTTTCTATTGGCGTCCCATCTGTCTTGGTCACTGTCCATTGTTGTGAATAGACACCATGACCAAGACAACTCGTATAAAAAAATCACTTAATTGGGGGCTTGCTTATACTTCAGAGGTTTAGTTCATTATCATCAATGTGGGTGAGATGGTAGGATGCAAGCAGGCATGGCAGCTGGGACATTTACATCCAAATCTGTAGGCAGCAGGAAGAGAGAAAGCCACTGGGCCTGGCTTGGGCCCTTGAAACCTCAAAGTTCACCTTCAGGACACACTTTCTCCAGCAAGGTCACACCTTCCAGCCCTTCCCAAGTAGTGCCACTCCCTGATGACCAAGCATTCAAATCTATGAGCAATAGGGGCTATTCTCACTCAAACCACCACACTTATCCAAGGTCTGATTAACAGATAGCCTTCTCTGAAATCTTAACTTGGCTATTGGCTTGAAAGTATAACCTTCTCCTTTTTTACATTTCCTCACCAGTTTGGGGGAAAGCTGGTTACCTTTGGCCTTCCCAGCATCCCTGTCCAACAGTTGCCACAGCCTTGTCCCCACCCTGTCTACATCAGTCAAGTCGTCACAGAATCAGAGTTCCTGACTCGGTCAGCCATGCTGCAGGAGGCCTTGGGATCTGGAAATCTCCTTAATTATTGTCAGAGCAAGATTCAGCAAGCTTCACTGCCATGTGAAAAGATGTTCTGGCAGTTCCTGAAGGTAGGAGGCTTGAAGGCTGCCTGTTCTTCCCTAAAGATCCAGGACTCCAGCCCTTGTCAACTCCAGGAGACATTGCAAGCACCCCGTGACCCATTCAAGAAGCCCATCCCCTAACTCTGGACACAGGCTCTTTATCTTTTGCCTCTACCCTTTCTAGAGGCTCAAAGGCCACTTGAAAAGATTGCGGAGGATGGGAGTTAGTGCTATTGTTGGTGTCCAGGATATTTTACTAACCAAGGAAAGTGCTTTCATAGTATCATGCCAAAGGGAAGATTCATTGGAGGGTTACATGAACATAAGGAGTTTGGGATTTGTTTGATGTAACCCAGGGCAGGTCCCTGTTGGGCCACTTCAGCACTAGAGATGTAGTTATAGTCTTCACTATGTCATTGTAACATGGAGGAGCGTGTGCTTGTCAGCAGACATGAGAATTAACTTGTGACAGAGTACTTGCTTAGGATGCATGAAGTTTGGTACTCTCTCTCTCTCTCTCTCTCTCTCTCTCTCTCACACACACACACACACACTTATATGTGAACACATACAAAAGGACATGTGTATACACTCACACACATGTGCCCACATGCATATACACACAAAATAGGTAAATTAGTGTAAATGAAGATACTCAGAGCTGTCTGTCACATGGTTTCTGAAGCTGGGTATGGAGGGACAGTCAAAGGAAAAGCATGGAAGGAGGAGGAAGGCAAGAGATTGTCAGAGAGATTACAGTCAGAATCCACTGTTCAGTGTGGAAGAAACGAAGAGTGGAGGTCAGCTGGCCCACAGTCGTGGCCCCTGGTGTCTGGGTTCTGAGTGGGAAGCTGATTCTGTGCACTGTACTTGTGCGGCTCCTACCAGGGTCTTCTCAACTCTGTGTTTAGATTCCCGAGACCACTGTAGGTTACACTCGGCATCAGTCTCCTCAGAAGGGTTGGAGACCAGGAGCACAGCTTATGACAGGGCAGTGCCAGTGGTACTCTTCTGTGGCCAAGTCTTTTCAGTAGTTCATGCAGCAATTCAGAGTCCCTTTAGCTCCCCACACAGCTCAGATGCAAGGAGATGACCCAGGTGGGCACAAGTAGATATATAAGGTGCCCTGACTTAGAGCTGCTCAGGCAGAAAGGCCAAGGGTCAGTTTCAGAGACCCCAGAGGGATATGTCCAGTAACCCGAGTCCATGAAGCCAGAAAAACCCTGACATGGTGTCCATGTCAGTCATTTACGGTTTGCATAGTTCCACGCCAGATGCAGTAGTGCCTCAAAGCAACTGATGTTTTACTCTCATCAGGTTACCAGGGTGACTGAGTTAGGAAGTCAGCTGAAGGTACACGTCTCATGTAGAAGTGGCAGAGGGCTGTGATAATACTGTCCACAGCCCAGCAAAAGCCAGATCTGAGGAAGGAAGGGAAGAGGCGGCATCACTGTTTTGAGGGAACTTTTGATGGCACATGGAACTGTATTTCAGGGCACGCTTGTACAAATGTTCATCGTGGGACAGGAAAAGGGCCATTCACCTGCATTTAACGGAAGTGCTTCTGCTTTTTCCTGTTCCTTAGGTGACCTTCGAGCATGACTCTAGGCTGCAGTTCCTCAGGCTGTTAGGCTTCAGCAAAGATGAGCTTCGGAAGAAGGTAAGCTTTTTATGCCAGAAGCATACTTGCTTTAGTGAGCAAATAACCCTGCTGGAGGAAACTGCCCCAGCTCACCTGGCCATAGTTCCCCACAGATGTGTGTTTTACCTCCTGGAATTCGTCTTTTCTCCAGAGAAGTGGGTGAAGGATCTTGGAGAGTATAGTTGGTGGGGTATGGGGGAAGGGGCATAAGGCCCTGAAGAGTGGTACTCATAAGGCTTTCCTCACAGGTGGACACATGCTTGAAGAATGACTTGAAGTTAGGGGGAAGCCCTCAGCTTGAAGCAGTTGACCTCAAAAGGGACAGACCACACACCTTCTGCCACCAGGTATGGTAGGAGGCCAGGCCCACCTGACTTGAGGTAGCATAGGAGACCTGCCTTTTAGGAACACTGTCCTTGCTGGCCCTTCTGGAGAAGTCTTTGCTCTGTTGGGGCCAGAGTAAGACACAGAGTCCGCGGGGTTCTTCCCAAACCCACCTGTACACTTCTAGTTTCATGCACTAGGGCACAACTAGTAGAGCTTTGGTGAGAGCATGCACTGTATTCTCTGGTTTGGGTTCCTACACGGTGACATCTGTCCTTCTGAGTACAGGCCTCCAAACACACCACTGAGGAAGCCTCTGCATCCTCAGCATTCTTTGATGAGCTACCTCCTCAGAACATGACTCCATGGGAGATTCCCACCACAGAAGGTACCCTGGCCCCGGGGAAGCAGTGGGCCCAGAGGGTTTGGTTTTAACAGTCCCTTTTTGCCTCCTGTCTCCCACCTAAAATCTCAGCTGTGGATGGGTCTTGTACCAGAGCCCTAGTGCTCTCTCTAGTCAGAGTCTAATGATGAGTGCTGCCTATGGATGGCCTTCTACTGAGGTCTTTTTCCATGCCTTAGTTTTCTTGTTAAAAGGACTGCAACCTTGCCCATGCTAAGAAGGCATACATCATGCCTGAGATCCTATACACAAGGCCCTCTCTGTTTTGAGTTCTATTTTAGAAAGTTACAGTTGGACCAGAGCAGCCCTGGGACACTACATTTTGTTGTCCAGAAGTGAAACTTGGGACTTTTGTGGAACCAGGCGGGCTGAATTAGAGAGAGAGTTCGCAGACAGGCCTCCAAACACACCATGGAGGAAGCCTTCACATCCTGTCTTATTTGAAAAGTTGGAAACCAAAGGGGGAAGTTCTGTGGGTCTTGAGGGACAAGGAGCGAGTGTGTGAGGGCCAGCTAACGGGGTGAGGTGCCTCTGTGTAGACACTGATGGACTCCTGAGCCAGGCTCTGCTCCTTGGGGAACTGCGGCCTGCTGTGGAGCTGTGTGTGCAGGAAGAACGCTTTGCTGATGCCATCATCCTGGCCCAGGCTGGGGGAGCAGAGCTGCTGAAGTGGACACAAGAACACTACTTGGCCAAGAGGAGAACCAAAATCTCTCCGGTACTGCCCACCATGCAGGAGAAGAAGGGAGGGGATCACCTGGGCCTGGGCAAGCGGAGACCCATCTGGGGACTGGTGTTTGGAATCCACCTGTCTCCCGACTCTAACAGTGCTACTTCAGTGCTAGTTCTGTTGGGTGTTCTGACATGAGTGGCTTTATTAGAACATCCCTGCGTTCGACACCTACTGACTCTGCTGGATGGAAAGCCGAGGGTCTTTTTCCCTTTCTGCCCAGTACAGCTTCTAGCCTGTGTTATAAAGAAGGATTGGAAAGACCTCGTATGTGCCTGTAGCCTGAAGAACTGGAGAGAAGCGCTGGCCTTGCTACTGACATATTCAGGGTCAGAGAAATTCCCTGAGCTATGTGGTAGGTGTGATTCAGCACACGCCAACAGACTTACACAAGGAGGAGGCAGAGTGTCAATCAGTCTGGATCCTGGAAGGCAGGGCTCAGCCAGGAGACAGGGATTGTAACATCTCGTATCCTGGAGGTGTCATGTATGTTCCCTTATTCCTCTATGTCATCTTGTGGCAAGTTCTTTGCCTTTCTCTATAGAGCTAGGTTAGTCTGAGTTACCTTTGTTTAAAAGATTTCTTTTTTGTTTTTATTTATGTCTATGAGTATTTTTGCTTGTATGTATATATAAGTGAATGTACCCTGTGTATGCCCGGTATGGAAGACAGAAGTAGACAGATTCCCTGGAACTGGAGTTGTAGATAGTTTGAGCTACTGTGAGCTCTGGGAATTGAACCCATGCCCTCTAGAAGAGCAATGTGTTCTCTTCACCACTGAGCCATCTCTCCATCCTCCTGAGTTACATCAGAGTTATTGTAGACTCTTGTGTCAGAGCTCACAGTAGTCCACTTGTTCCCAAACATGGGAAGGAAGAATCATAGCACAGGAGAGCTATGCTGGTAACCAAATTTGCATCTCTCCACAGACATGCTGGGAACTCGAATGGAGCAGGAGGGAGGCAGGGCACTCACCTCTGAAGCCAGACTCTGCTACGTGTGCTCGGGGAGCGTGGAGCAGCTGGTAGAGAGCTGGACAAAATCCCTCCAAAAAGCCTCATGCCCCATGGCTCTGCAGGTACCTCTTCTCTGCAAGTTCTAGCCACTCCAGGCTCACAGGAGGGGCTCGTAGTAGGATATGCAGCTAAGAGAAGTGAGTCGTATGCAGCTAAGAGAAGTGAGTCATATGCAGCTAAGAGAAGTGAGTCCTATGCAGCTAAGAGAAGTGAGTCGTATGCAGCTAAGAGAAGTGAGTCGTATGCAGCTAAGAGAAGTGAGTCGTATGCAGATGCAGCTAAGAGAAGTCTAAGAGAAGTGAGTCGTATGCAGCTAAGAGAAGTGAGTCGTATGCAGCTAAGAGAAGTGAGTCGTATGCAGCTAAGAGAAGTAAGCTGGAGCTGTGTGTGAGGGAAGAGCAGAGCGGCCTCAGCGTCTGCTGCCCTATTCCTCAGGATGCCACGCTTGGGAATGAGCCTTCATAAAATTTCCCATGCCAGCATTCATCATACAAGTCAATTTAATGTTTGATACATCGTTTCTGTGAAATATTCTGTGGATCTAAACTGTACCCGGTGCTCTGTGGGTAAGCAGAGATGGTGAAGTCATATGTGTGTGAGGAGACCAGAGGCTCACATGAAATGATTAGTATAGAAGCGTCCGCTTGATGACATAGCAACAAAGGACCAAAAGTACCAAGAAGAGAATTCAAGACCCAGACACAGTCATTGATCCCAATGTTAACAGCCTAGGAATCGAGGCCTCCTCTGTCGTGTCTCTTACAGTGATTGTTGCCTTCACCACGGTGTGTTCAGGTGTTCTCCTTTCCATGCTGTGGTGTTCCTGGGTGAGCCACCTGGACATGGCGAGATGAACCTGGAAGGTGTTGATTACCTGCTCCTTGTCCCTACAGGACCTGATGGAGAAGGTGATGGTCCTTCGCAGGAGCTTGGAGCTACTGCAGGGTTCTGACAAGATGAACCTAGGTCCTGCCACAGCCTACAGGCTCACCCAGTACGCCAGTCTCCTGGCAGCCCAGGGCAGCCTAGCCATTGCCATGAGCTTCCTACCCGGTGATTGCATCCAGGTGAGAGTGGCCATGATAAAGGCTACATCGTCGTATTCATTTATCTAACACTAAGCACATCCATGTTTAGGCACTATGCTAATGCTGTAGCCCCTGGGAGAAATAAGGTCCCTTAGGCAGCTCACAATCTGTTGGGAGAGATCATGTTAGAAACTTACAGTGTCATAATAGAAGATTACACTAATTTCTGTGGCACATCAGGGAAGAGGCTGATTTTTCTGAAGGCTTTCCAGTGGTTAAAGCAGTTGAACTTCAAAGAAAAGCACATATAGGGCACTCCCAGCAGGGAGAGAAGCCAGGAGGGAAGGCATACCAGTGTTTGGCAGGGATTAGGGAACTTTGGGTCTCTTCAGGTTACTAAAGAATATAGAGAGCAACCCAAAGTTTGTTGAATGAAGCCAGGCTTCATCAAGAAGATGTTTGTTTGTTTTAGTTTCCTAACAGCTCTTCCTTATTACAACTTTAGCCAGCAGTTCAGCAGCTGAGAGATCGACTTTTTCATGCCCAAGGCTCTGCTGTCGTTGGCCAGCAGGCTCCCGCTTTCCCTTTTCCCCGGGTTGCTGTAGGAGCTACTCTCCACCCAAAAGCGATATCACCATATAGAATGGGATCCCAGCCTCCTCACCAGGTAAGAACTTACCTGTTAATTCATTTATCCATCCATTCCAAAGTATTTATGTACCAGGATGGCTGTAGACACTTGGAATACTTTAGTGAACAAAGCCAGGTGGAAATTCCCAGCTTTGTAGAACCATGCTAGATTCAGTTATTTTTCTAATAACTGTTTATTGAACAAACACTAGGATCTTAGAACATAAAGAACACAGACTATAATCTTTGCCCTCAAGTAGTTCGTCTAGAGAAAAGAAAAATATTGTCTTAGGGTTTCTAATGCTGTGAAGAGATACCATGACCAGAGCAACTCTTATACAGGAAAGCATTTCACTGGGGTGGTTTGCAGTTTCAGAGGCTTAATACATTATCGTCATGTTGGGACATGGTGGCGTGCAGGCAGACAGTGGTGCTGGAGAAGGAGCTAAGAGTTTTACATCTGAATCCACAGACAACAGGAAATAAACTGAGTACCACACTGAGTATAGCTTGAGCAAAGGAGGCCTCAAAGCCCCCCCCTTCCCCCCAGTGATACGTGATACACTTCCTCCAACGAGGCCATACCTATTCAAACAAAGCCGTACCTCCTAATAATGCCATTCCCTTTGGGGGCCATTTTCTTTCAAACCACCACAGATGTATTAAAAAATGTAATAGAATTCAGAATAGCCATGATTGCAGTATGACAGAGCACTATGGGAATATATAGAAGAAAAAGAAATTTGTGTGTGTGTGTGTGTGTGTGTGTGTGTGTGTGTGTGTGTGTACGCGGGGGGGGTGCAGCTCAGGGAATATTCTAAAAAAGTATTACATTTAAAAAAAGGTTTATTGGCTTATTTATATTTTTATTCACATATATATGTGTGCCTGTGTGTGGATGCTCACAGAGGCCAGAAGAGGGTGTCAGATTTCCTAGCACTGGAGTCACAGGTAACATAAGCCACCTAATGTGTGCTGGGAACTTTTTGTGTGCGTGCATGCGTGCGTGCGTGCGTGCGTGCGTGCGTGTGTGTGTGTGTGTGTGTGTGTGTGTAGTTTTGTGACAGGGTCTCACCATATAGTCCTGGTAGATCTAGAACTCACTATGTAAACCAGACTGGTCTTAAATTCACAGAGTTATGTCAGCTTCTGCCTACTAAGTACTGGGATTTTATGTCTGCCACACAATACTGAACTTGAAAAAGATTTTTTTTTTTAAATCTTTTCAGTTTTTTGAGACAGGGTTTCTCTGTGTAGCCCTGGCTGTCCTGGAACTCACAGGAACTCTGGAGACCAGGCTGGCCTCGAACGTGGAGGTGCACCTGCCTCAGCCTCCCAAGTGCTGGGGTTAAAGGGGTGTACCACCACCCCCGGCCCCTGAAAAAGAGTTTTTAATGTATTATATTTAGTGTGTGTGCATGTGTGCGCGTGTGCGTGCGTGCGTGCGTGCGTGCGTGCGTGCGTGCGTTACTGCATGTGTAGAAGTCAAAGGACAAACTGTGGGAACCAGTTCTCTTCTTCTGCCATGTGTATCAAAGTATTTCATCATTCCTTGATTGGATACTAAAGGTTAAGCTATTTAGACAAAGGATGGCTACATTACGTCTGCTTCAGGCCCAGGGGACAAATGTGCAAACACACCAAAATAAGAGGAAACAACAGCCTTCTGAGGAGTCGGTAAAACACCAGTGGGTTGTGATCTTGGGATGGAGTTAAACAAAGGAATAACAGGTGGGAAATAGACGGCGAACATCTGGCATTGTGTATTGGAGAATTTAGGCTTGACCCTGGTGTTGCTACAGAGAGGGGGCATGGAAGAAATGGCCACATCACACCAGCTCCCTGACCCTCTTCTCCTACACAGGTCCCAGCTCCATCTGCAAGGCCAAGGGCCACAGCTCAGCCGTCATTAGTGACACCCTTCACACCCTCCCACCTCAGCCCTTCTCAGGGCTCACAGACACAGTCTGCAAGAGACTACAGGGTACCTGGGCCCCAGGCAACCCTGCCTCTGCGTTTTGGCCCTGGAGTAAGGCCTGGTGAGTAAGAGAAGCTCTCCTCTGGCAGAGTACAGGGTTCTCAGGAAAGGCAGACAAACTGCCTTCCAGTCCATGCTGATGACCCTAGACAGAACACTGTTGTTTGGGGACAGGATCTCCTGTAGCCCAGGCTAGCTTCAAAGTTGCTGTGTAGCCAAGGATGACCTTAAACTGATCTTTCTGCCTTTCCCTCCAAGTGTTGCAATTACAGGGTATACCAAACTTGTTTTGTCTTTTTAATAAGTTTACAATTCTTTTTTTTTGAGAAAATTGCTTTGAGATTAAAGTCTGAATTCCTAATAGTGTCTTTTACTGAACCCCTCCTCATAGTCTCTCTCTCTCTCTCTCTCTCTCTCTCTCTCTCTCTCTCTATCTGTGTTTAAAGACTTTGGCAATATACCAAAGTCATTTCAATTCACTAATATTGTTTTGAGGGTCAAATAAGGACTACAATTAAAAAGCACTTTGAAAATTGTAGATTTCTCTCTGCATGTACTAATGATTCCTTGTTATTATCAGTTGTGGGTTTACAATTGTTTTTTGGTATGGACTCTTGCTTGTCTTCAAATTACTGGTCTCAAAAGGTCTTGTCTCAGCATCCCAGGTGTCACTAAAGGTGTGTCTCATCACACTCGCTTTTTTTTTTTACTTGTGTTGCTGATTTGTTTCTGAATGGTATTCTCCGAGTCTTCCCCAAAATGAAGTTTGATGATAAATTATCTATTTCTATTCTCCTTCAGCCTTACCTCAGCCACAGCTGTTAGGAGGACAAAATGCTCAGGCTGCAAACCCGGTTGGATTCTCTGAAACATGGCCTCTTCCTGGTGCCCCCCCACTCATGGCAAACCCAGACACCATGCAGCCTGGCTCTAGTCCCCTGCCTGAGACTCCTAGACTACTCCCTCTGCCTCCAATGGGACTGCCAGGTCCCAGCCCTCTGAGTTCCCTGCCCTCAGCCTCTCCTGTCAGTTTTCCTGTGGCTTACCCTCCTGGAGGGACAGGGGCTCGGTGCTCCAGTACCCCCCTGAGCACTGGCACCTTGACTCCTCATCCAGGTCAGTCTTCTTTCCACACTCCTTCTTGGGGGGTCATTGCCTCCTCTCTTCTCATCCCACCACTACTTTGGGAGTCTTTTCTTCTAAGGCCCTTTGCCAGTCAGGAGTATGACTGATATACAGAGGCAGACTATGACTAAAATAACTTTTCCAGCTTTTAGATGAACATTTCCAAGGTCCTTCACCACGCCCCTAAAGTCCCCCATTTCCTGTTCTTTAGGATCTCAGGATGCCTGGCGAGTTGCTCCAGCCACCCAGGAAAGCCTCCCGAGGAGAAAGGTAGCTGCATCTTTCCCTCCCTAGTGACCCACTTCCTAGTTCTTTAAGAATTCAGCTCCACCCTTCCAGTCTTTACTCCCCTCTGAGTTAGTGTGTACCTCTCAGCAGCTACCTTTTCCTCCTGCACACATCTTCTGTTTTTCAGTTCTCTGCTCCCAATCCTGTTTCTTGTTCAGAATCAGAGCATGTGGTGTCTCATGGTTCACTCATACGCTTTTCTTTATCTCCTTAGTTGCCAGAGACATTTATGCCTCCAGCACCGATTACAGTTCCGGTTATGTGCCTTGGCCCTGAGCCACGACAGGCCCTGCTGCCACAGCCCCAGGTCTCCAGTGTGAGCTGGTCTCCTCCCGGAGCCCCAAGAGAACGCAGCCTGCAGGTGACAAGAACAGTGAGTCCTCTCCCCTGGGGCGTCCTCTCCCCTGGGGTGCCTTCTAGCCTTACTTGTGCAAGAAACGCTAGATCGTAGAAACCAGATTACTTGAGCTGAGGATGTCCTTCTTGCAGAGAAGGGGAGGGGTGGCTCTGAGCTCTGCCTTGATGGAAGCATGACCTTAAGTCACAGGTGACTGAGCCAAGGGAAGCCATGAGGACATCTTGCCTTGAGTTCTTCCTCACTGTTCCCGAATTAACAGCTCCAGCAACTGCCTCCTGAGAAGAAGGAGCTGCCCGCAGAACATCAGTGCTTGAAGGACAGCTTTGAGGCACTTCTTCAGCGCTGTTCCCTGTCTGCCACTGACCTGGTAAGTGTGAGCCTTGCCACAGTGCCTCCTCACACCCTCAGTAGGCCACTATGGCCTCGCATGGAGACCAGGTCCCTTACTACCTGGGACATATTGGCCCTATCTGGTACTTCCTTGACGTCCAAATGAAGAGGGGAGGGCTTGGAGTCTGCTCCGAGTCCCTCTTCCCAATAGCAGGACCAGAGAGCTTGGAGGTTTACGACAGCAAGGCATATTAGAAAATGGGTGGGGCTGGAGGAAGAAAGCTGCCATTCACTCACTCGCTGTGTCACCAGAGCAAGCCTCTTGCCATCTTTGGGTCTCTGAAATGAAGGAAATAGCACTGAGCCACCCTAGCTGTGTATCTCATGGATGTCTATAGTGCTGTATGGGATGAGCCTTGAGGGTGGTGTCAGAATCCACTGTTCTCCCCACAGAAAACAAAAAGGAAGCTGGACGAGGCAACCCAGCGTCTAGAATGTCTATATGAAAAGCTCTGTGAGGGGACAGTAAGTACCTGACTGACTTCCCTGCCTGGTGCCTCTCCACTGCCACCTGTGGTCAGAGGAAGCCCAGTGTCCCTTCTGCCCCTGAGTCTCAGAGCCATCTCCCTGAACTTGGGTCTCTTACCCTTTCCACACTGTCTGAGTTGGGGCTGGGCCGGGCTCATCTGATCTAAGGGTCGATCCCTCCGCAGCTCTCACCGCATGTCCTGGCTGGACTCCACGAAGTTGCCCGATGCGTGGATGAAGGCAGCTTTGAGCAGGGTCTTGCAGTGCATGCCCAGGTGGCGGCCTGCAGCAGCTTCAGCGAGGTATCCAGCTTCATGCCTGTCCTGAAGGCTGTCCTCACCATCGCACACAAGCTGCAGGGCTAAGCCAGGCAGCAGAAAGGGGGAGTTTTTCAACAGATTGTTTGTTTCTCCCAATCTTCTCCCCTTGCTGCCAGGTATGTGACGCTGGGGGCTTGGTTCCACGCCAGCTGAGTGCCTGTTTCTTACCCCTTCATGCCTGCCCACCTGGCCTTACCCAGGGTGCTTTCTGAGGTAAAGCACAGAGTGAGCTCTTGCTTTCCCTAATGTGGCAGTCCAGTGGGGTCTGCACCAGGACGGCTTACACAGGGTTATCCTATTCGGATGGCTTCTGAAGAGAGTAAACAGTGTCCTTCGTTCAGTCTGCCTCTGCCATGACCTATCTATCCTATAGGTCTTTTATTCTTTCGCTTCTGGAGTTTGAGTCCAACTGCACTTTCCCTCTGCCTCTGTCTTCATATTTTCAGGTCCATATTTATTGTAGCCCCAGGGATTTGGAGAGAATTGGTTGATGTTCACTTTTTCAACAAGTCATGGACATGAGAATTGGGTGTGGGTGTTGAGTAAAATCAAGAGAGGAAACTGGCCCTTTAAAAATGGAACTTTGTCTCATGTATTAGTATCCCTCAGGGTGGGCTGTGTTAGTGGCAAGTGAAAGAGGCGAAGTGCCCTCTGTTTAGGCTATGAAGGAGAGGCCTGCGGAACAGCAGTTCTCACCCTGTGGGTCACGACCCCTTTGGGGGTCGAATGACTCTTTCACAGGGACTGTCTAAGACCATGGGAAAACACGTATTTATATTACAACCCACTACAGTAGCAAAATTACAGTTATGAAGTAGCAATGAAATAATTCCATGGTGGGGGGTCACACTGAGGAACTGTATTAAGGGGCACAGCATTAGGAAGGTTGGGATCCTGCTGTAGAGAATGACCTTTGACACTACCTAGGCTTGAGCCTGGCCTACATGCTGCCTTAAACCATCCAGTCTGTGATTTTTAAGCCCGATTCTGGAATCAGAGCTGGGCTTCTCAAAGGATCCAGAGCCCTTCTTCCCTTCAGCTACCTTCTGTCTCCAATCTGCCTTCTCTGTCACACTTTCATGCTGACCTCTTCAACAGTGCAATAAAGCCATCTGCTTTCCAAAGTTGTTTCCCAATCCTTGTCTCCTCTGGATCCTACTTAGCCGCTGCTTCCCATTCAAGAGCAGAGGCCTTGCTTCCTGTACTATATAGGAAGGCAGGAGAGAGGTCTGGGGAGAGATAAGTACTAAAATATTGAGGAAAATAACTATAAAAATTATGTGTATGAGTGTTTACCCTGCATGTATATCTGTGTACTATGTTTAGTACTGATGCCTACAAAGGCTGGAAGCAGGCACCTAATGGGTGCCGGCAATTGAACCCATGTCCTTTGGAAGAGCAGCCATCTCTTCAGCCCAAGAAAATAAATTTTTTAAGTGTAGTCCCATGGACTTGTGCTGCAGGCCTTTCCTTGCAGTGTCTGTGTGTGTGTGGGGGGGGGGGGGGTTCTTCCTTCTTGTCTTTCCCCTCCTGTGCCTTCCGGACTTGTGCTGCAGGCCTTTCCTTGCAGTGTCTGTGTGTGTGGGGGGGGGGGGTGGTTGTCTGTCTGTCTGTCTCCATCTGTGCCTGACAGTTAGCTGCAGGGTTTCCCCCACACCACTTCAGGGCTGAACTCAGCTGCACAAAGGGCCTGGGTGTGAAGCCAGGGGGTACCAGCCCTAATCCTGTTGTCGATCCCATCATGTCTGCAGGCTAGATGTGTGTGTTTGGGAGGGAGGGATTGTTAGGCAGTATTTGTTTGTAAAGCCACTTGCTCTTCAGATAATACGTGTGCTAACTTCTATTGATGAAGCAGTGTGAGCCCCAGCAAAGTCCTTTCCCAAAGTGTCTTTGAAGCCAGGAGCCCATTGAAGGGAAGAAAGGCCGGGAGAGGGGATTAGTTTGTTCAGCAGCTGTGAATTTCAGTGGGAGGTTGATGAACTCTGAAGTCTTTGTTTAAATTAAAGGGGGGGAGGGAAAAAAAAGCGGCTGCTGGAGCGAGAGCCCCACTTGGGGCCCTGAACTAACACAAGGAGAAGTCTGAGCTGCGGGGAGCTGTGTACTAACTGCGGAGACTTTTCCCAAACACTTTCGGAAAAGGTGTTGTGAGGAGAGAAGGGGGCGGAGGGGCGGATTAACATGTGAAATGAAGTTTTCATTGACTCCGGCGGGGGTAGAAGGCTGTTTTAATGGCATTTTGTTCCCCTATTTTCTCTCCTTGAGCTCTTTAGAGATATTGTTTTGCTAAGACAGGCTTTCTTCCCTCTTCTTTCCAGTCTGAGGATTGCCTCTATGGGAGCCAACATAAATATTTCTCCTCCAGGAATGTGGGTTAATTAAAAGGAAACGAATGACTGGAAGCATCCAATCCAGACCGACAATAGGCGAGTGCCCCGGCTGCCCTCCCCTCCCACCACCACCCGCGCTACCAGCGTGCCAAGGACGACCCTTTCTCTCTTTGCACTGACCTGTTCCTAAGGCCAAGTGAGGCTGAGATTCTTTTAAAGAAAAGAAAGCCCTGGTTCACAGGCCAGGGACAGGAAGGAGACCGTGTTTTGCTCACCCCACCCAGTGTTCTCGTCACTTCTCAGGACCTCCCTCCACTTCTGTCCTCAGACTGAGACAGATGGGCTCCTTGAGAGCAGACAAGAGGAAGGAAGGGGTCTGGGTGGCTGTGCCACCCCACACTAACTTACCAGCCTGCCGGGTTTCTCAACATCGGCTTAAATATGTAGAGCAAAAGGTTTGACTAGCTGACCTCAGAGGTGCCTAGCCTTCCTAGTCAGCAGTTCTAGAGTTGTCTGCAAAGCCGTGGTGTTTTAGTGTAAGCCAAGAAGCTGTGCACTGAGGGGTACTGATGTGTTTGTTGTTAGCTGGCTCCACTCCCGTGTTCACTGCATGAACAGTGCATGAAGGCATAATGCATGGGGGGGGGGGCGCAGTATCTCCTTTATAGAACTGGAATGAACCGGGTGTCAGTCATACCCACTCGGGGATACAAAGCAACTAAGAACCTTTATATTTTCAGCTGCGTTGCCACGTTTTCTTCTGTACACTATCTAGTAACTGACCAGTGAGACAGTGGGATTAACACATATTGTTGCTTTGTTGGGGAAAAGAAAGGATAATTTGGGAGACTAAGAAGGCACAGATAAGAAATGAGGGAGGAAAAAAGGCATTTTACCGATAGAGCTGGAAGTGAAGTATATCTCCTGCTAAAGAAGAGAAAAAACAGCCCCAATTAAGTGCTGATAGGACCAGAGGATGCATAGAGGTCTGACTTGGCCAGTGTCAGAGGCAGGCAGTCTGCTCTTCCAGGGCACGGGGGCTTTGGCGGTCCGTGTGAGCTCTGTACTTCCTTTAGGAGAAGGGCAATGAAGTAAAGAATTTGGCTGGCTCTGCTCCAGAAGTGCTGTGGATGCCCACACCCAGGACTAGCCTAGGGCGGGAGCAGCTATGGGGAAGGTCTGGACTGAACTGGCTCTTCTGTTGCCAGATCCCCATTTCCTAAACAAGTCCCTGCTGGACTGCCCATCTCCGAGAAAGGAGCCTCAGACTCAGAAGCCCCTAGCTCTTGGCTTCCAAGTGAATGCATTAGTGGAAGGTTTACGTGGGTGATTTACTAATCCTGGCAGATTAACCTCAGTCAAATCAAGCTAACTACTTAGACCATGAGGGGAGGCTACAGGGAGATGGTACCCTGCCAAAGTGGGAGGGAGGAGGGAGCTTAGAGGTTAAGTTTCTACTCTGCCTTCCCCTCACCATCCCAGTGAGTTCAGGATGTGGGGTGGGAGGTGTACGTATCAGAGACTGAAATAAATTAAAAGGTCAAGGTCTGAACATCCTATTAGCAACAGTTTCATAGCAGGGGGATTACTTATGGAGAAAAGTATCCAATGTTCTGAGTCCTGCCTATTTGAGGACCAGGTGTGGGGCCAGGCTTCTCCTTCCTATGCCCTGACTTTAGGGATAGAGATCCAAAAATTGCCTTGATTTACCCATCTTGGCTCAGAGGGTCAAAGCCCTTTGGAGAAGGAGACAAGGTATAGATGGCTGCTGTGATCAGGGAATGATTGCCAGCCGACCTCTGCCTCTGCTAGACCTCTTGGGTGTGTCTGAAGTATCTTTGGTGTTTAGGAAGGTCACTGCTCAGCTGATGAAGTCCATCAATGACATGCTGTCACAACTGTGTGCGTTGGTTTCTGGGGTTCCCTCTTTCCCCATATTCAGAGGCTTTCTCGTTTCCAGTTCTTTTTTGTTTTTTTTCCAGGACAAGTAGGGAAATGAGCAGACAAAATGTCAGATTCCTGAGGAGTCAACATCAGGGGATCTAGGGCTAGACCGTAGTCCCTGGAGGCTCTGGCTCCCAGGAGGACGGTGCAGCTGTCTTTACCTGGACTCTGCCTGTCTGAGAGGGTTCTTTCCTCGGTCTGAAAAAGCTAGGCCCAGCATTAAGACAGCTGGGGTCCGGGATAGGGTAGGGTGAAATGAAGGGAATCGCCTGGTTTGGTCCTTTTCTCTGGAACAATTGTGTAAAATTTTAGAACAGTTTGAGACCTAAGAGTGAGCTACGAAGACCATACAGAGGGATCCGGGAAACAGTTCTGGAAAGTGGCACTCGATGGAGAGACTGCTACCTCCCCCTGACAGGGTCGCTGGGCTAGGGAGTGTGAGGTCCCCATTCTGGGTCCCTCTGTTTCCGGGGTCTCTAAATGAAGCCGAGGACAAACAGGGAAGGAGGCAGGAGGAGACCCTTAAGGTTTCTTCCCAGGTTTGTGCGCAGCGCCTCTCGGCGGCCGCTCGGCGCGGCTGCAGAAGTACTTGGTGACCCGCCGGCGGCACTGCTCGCAGCGGACCGCGCAGCACCAGTGAAACTTGCAGTTGCAGCTGGACACTGTCTCGGTGCGGCGCTCCTCCACCGCCAGCCCGCAGTCCCCGCACAGCCTGCGGCAGCTGCGGCGCTCCCAGCGGCCCAGGGCGCGCCCGCGCCGCAGGCACTCTCGGCCCTCGGTGCCTAGCAGCCCCAGGGTCTTGTTCTCCAGGCAGTAGTCTGGGGAGTCCTCCAGGTGGACCAGCTCGCGCGTGGAGATGGAGCGGAAGGTGTCGGCGATGGCGCCGCGGCCCGCCGCGCTGTTGCCCGCGCCCTGCAGCAGGTCCACCTTGAGCGCCGCGTGATACTTCTCCTTCAGGTGTGCGCCTACCTCCCGGAACTCCGGCAGCTGCAACCAGCAGGTCTGCGTGGTGCAGCTGCCAGACACGCCGTGGCACTTACACGTGCGTTTCATGGTGCCCTTGACCGCCTGGGGAGAGAGCTGAGCGTAAGAAGTTGCAAGGCGCCTAGCCAGTGGCCAGCCGACTGGGTAGTCTGTAAAACAACTCTCAAGGTGATGGAGCTGGCAGTGGCTGGAGCCAGCTGGATAGCAAAGGGCTGCGGGACTCACCTTGCGGCCAGCCTCGTTGTTGTGCAGATTCATGGCTGCCCGGGCATCCTGTCCTGTCTCCAGGGCATCCACAAACTGCTTGGAAATTGCCTCTCCGAAGCCCACGTTGTCACTGCAGCCTCCCCAGAGCCAGCCTTGGCCTCCTGAAAAGGCAGGAGCGGGAAAAGCCATTGAGTCCAAAACTTGCTGGGCTCATGTTTCTAATTGGATGGGGGTAGGTGTGGGGGTGGAGGAGACTCTGGGATAGGAAAGGTTTAAGGCTGGGTCAGTGCTCTGTTTCTGGATTGGTTTCGATCTTAATTTGTTTTTGCCACCTTTTCTGTCCTCTTTCAGCCTGAGCCAATCCCCTGCTCAGGCCTTCGTGATGTAACTAGTTGTGTCTTGTCACGTGGATTCTGCCTGCATGCTCCTCCGTAGGAGGTGCACGTGTCTGGCGGGCAGAAGGTTGAGGTTGGCAAGGGACAAGAGTTCAGCCTTTGAGAAAGGAAGAGGAACCTGACAGAGGGATTGAGTGTTAGGGTACAGAGGATGGGAAGGCAGTGGAAAGTGTGGGACGAGGGACAAACACAAGAAGTCCCCCTGGGAGGGACGAATGATTGAGTCTACACACTAGTCCGTTATTACTCTGTTTAAGTTAAGGAAATTTGGGGAGGAGAACAGAGCCTTCAACTCTATTTGGGCAGGGTTGTCAGGTAGTGTGTGGGGGCTGGAACAGGTTTGTCGCTGTCGTGTGTGGAGGCAGGCACTGGGTCAGCCTACTTGAGCATTATTTCCCTTATGTTTGGAAGAATCCAGTTTTATTCCTCCAAGTCTCCACCATGCCTTTGTTGTATAAGTGAACTTCCCGGCCTGCCTGCCTGCCTGCCTGCCTGCGCTCCCCATTCCCATGTTTTTACTCACCCAATTGTCCATTTCGGGAGTCATCACAACCACAGTTGTCAAAGTCGCCAAGGCTGCAGTTTCTAGTCAGGGTATACATGACTCCGGCAGAACTGATGGCATGCACAAATGCTGTCTCCCGGTTAGCTGGGGGAGCCAAAGTCCCTCGAGGGTTAGAATGTGCTATTTTCCCCTAATGCCTTTGTCACAAGCTCTATCCTGTTTCTCTTACCCCCTTTCAGGGTCCCGCTCTCAGCCCTAGCCTCCTTCCCTCCCCTTTTCAAGTCACACATTTTGTGAGTGGTTGGCTTGACTGCTGATGACATGCTTATAAAAGGTAGGAAAGAACCTGTGGAAAAAAGTGGAGCTGACTCTGAAGGCAAAGACCCCACCCCATGTACTCCTGGAACGTCTAAAAAAGCATGCAGTCGGTTTTAAAAAGCTCTTCCAATGGATTGCCTTCTCACTATTGTGTATCTTCTCTATGGTAACCTGGTCTCTGAGTTTCTCAGGGTTTGGCACCTCTCTCTAAGCTGCTGGAAGGAGAGACTAAGCAGCGTGGGGATTTTTGACCCTAACCTACTTCTTGGTATTGCTTGGATTGTGACAAAGCCTTTGGCCAATTGGGCAGCTAAGGGCAGCACAGGGCGGGAGATGAGTCAAAGTATATGGGGTGGGGTAAAGAGAAGATCTCAAAAGAGCGATGTCCTGGACAAAGAGACTGGGTGAAAATTAAGCATGTAGAGGAGGAGGGGGCCCAAACGATGACCAGGGGTTCCTGGAACAGAAGTCAAGGCTTTCCTTACCACTACGAAGTCCACCATGGCTGGACAGCTGCAAAGCTCTCTCAGGACAATTCCAGCGGTCCCAAGCAAACTGGTATTTACATTCTTCAATACCACTCTGGGCACCAGCTGCCACACTGCTGGAGTAGACGAGGTAAGCCTACAGGAATATGGGCTCAACATTTAGCCTCAACTTAGCAGCCATTTGTCCCAAGCAACTCTCTTACACTCTATTCTCCCAGCCTCTAAAATGTGGTGTGAGAAAGCAGTCTGAATGTGCTATCTCATTTAATAGTGCCAGTGTCCCTGTGGATAGGGACCATTGTGTAGGCCAAGAAACCTTTGCCCAGAGCCTCACAGTCAGCTGAAAGCAAAAGGAGTGGAATTTGGTTTCTATCAAACCCTGGTTCCCACAGAACTTAAACACGGTTCATTATACTAAACCATTTCTCCAAAATGAGCCCCATTCACATAATTAATTAGTAGTAGTCTGGACTACTTGAGACTCTGTCTCAAACTAACAAAACAAGCAAACAAAAACCCTATGGGCTTACTTAACATATACAAGGCCACTGAGTCAAGCCTTAACATTGCAACAATAAAAATCCTTACAATAAGCTGGCTGTTGATGGCGCACGCCTTTAATCCCAGCACTCAGGAGGCAGAGGCAGGCGGATCTCTGTGAGTTCGAGGCCAGCCTGGTCTCTAGATCGAGTGCCAGGATAGGCTCCAAAGCTACACAGAGAAACCCTGTCTCGAAAAAACCATCAACAACAACAAAAAATCCTTACAATAACAACAAAAATCACCAAGTATTAAAAAAAAAAACTGTCACATCCACACCGTGGAATACCACTCAGCAATAGAAAGAACAAACAGTTAATAAGTTTCCTGTTTCCTGTACTTGTACCCCATTACCAGCTAAGGATTGGTATTTGGGGAACACCTTCCCTGTAGAGGCCATGTAGTGCAGTTCCCCGAACGTTAGAGGGGACACTGCGCCTGTCAAAGATGGTCACTGTTCTGGCTCTGGAGATTCTGGCAGTAAATTTAGTAACAATACACCCAAGTTCTCATCTGAGCTCTGAGAGTTTGCCGAGTGGCTTTGGACAAGTCCCCAACTATGCTATTAAACAGCATTATAAGAGTTGTAGATATAATGAAACCACCATATGTTATCTTCAGCCAACAAGTTAAAACTAGTGACATCTGAGTTCATCAAAGACTTTCTCCTTACCTTTGGGCCGGTCATCAGAAAATTGTTCACTGACCTAGAAGAAAGAGAAATCAGAGCACAGTGGAGAGACACAGTTTGTTTCTGCTTCTAAGAGTCACAGAGATCATTTCCACAATATCATTGAGAGAAGGAAAGGGAAATTAGCTTTCATAAGAGATGCTACACCTGGTCACAAGGCTAAAAAAGATGACCTGCTCAGGTCCAGCAAGTAAATGTACCTGCTGTCAAGCCTGACAACTTGAGTTCGATCCTGGGAACCTACGTGGTAGACAAGAACCAGCTTCTGCAAGGGTTTTCTGACCCTCACTCATGTGCTATAGCATGGATGCTGGCTCCAACACATACATGTGTGCCCGGAATAAATAAATTTTAAAATAATTTAAAAATTTAAAAAGATGACTCATTAAGTTAAAAATATTAATCAAAGCATATCTCTTTAGATTTAAAAAAATTTGTTTTTATTCTAAATGTGTAAGTGCTTGCCTGTGTTTACGCACACCACATCACATACCTGAGGAGCCCAGAAGAGGGTATCAGATCCCCTAGAACTGGAGTTAGAGAGAAAGGAGTCACCATGTGGGTGCCCAAAACTGTACCCAGGTCCTCTGAAGGAGCAGCCAGTGCTCTTAACTACTGAGCCATCTCTCCAGCCCCCTTTCTTCAGATTTTTAAAGTCAGTTATAATTTCCAACACCATAAAACTTAAGATTACAGCTTCCAATACCATAAAAATGGAAATAAAGTTTCATTATTTTTTTGCCACAGGCTGGGGACAGAGATAGCCTTAACTCATAATTGAGTACCAGACACTACTCACTGTTTCACATGTAGCTCTTTTAAATGATTTAGGTCTCAAACATTCTTACCTCTGTTTTGTCCGTGGGGACCTACGGGGAAGCAGCTAAGTACATGCTCAGGTTCACCCGGCTAATAAATGAGGAACTGGATCTGATCCAGGTTTACCTGACTTCACTAGATTGTAGACAGGTGCTTATCTGGTTAGGAAGAGTAAACAGTGGAATATTTGTCTAGGGCTTCAATAATTGAGTCCTAAAATAAAGCTTGGTCTCTACTTTAAAACTAAGTGGCTTTGATCTTAGATCTTTATCTTAGAAATTCATATGTGTGTGAATTAATGAGTGTGAAAGTTAAAACTGTAGCCTTTGCTGGACTTAATGGTGCACATGTGTAATCCTAGCACTTGGGGCGTGGTGGCAGGAGAATCAGGAGTTCAAGGCCAGCCCCATCTGCATAGCTAGTTCCAAACCAGTCTGGACTGCTAGAGACTGTCTCAAACTAACAAAACAAGCAAACAAAAACATATAGCCTTACTTATCATATACAAGGCCACTGAGCCAAGCCTTAACATTGCAACAATAAAAATCCTTACAATAACAACAAAAACCCCAAACTGTCACATGCACACTATAGAATATCACTCAACAATAGAAAGAACAAACTATTAATAAACACAATTATTTGGATGAACCTCAAGGAAATTAGATTCAAGTCAATCCCAGGCTGGGGTGATAGCTTAGCCATCTGTGTGACTGCAGAGAGAGGCAGCATCACCAGAGCAAGCTGAGTAGCCAGCTAGCTGAATCAGTGAGCTCTGGGTTCAATGAGAGACCCTGCTGTATGAAATGGAGAGCAACTGAGAAGACTTCCGAAGTCAACCTCTGGCCTTTACATAAATGTGCACATGCATCGCCACACAGAAGAACATACATACACATATGCACACATGCCACTCACATGCCCACCCCAAACAAGTCAGTTTCAAAAGAATATGCATTTCCGGGTCTGGTTCTGTAATTGTTGTCCCTTGGGAGGCTGAGGCAGGAGGATCACAGGATAAAGGTGTGTGTGAGCTACAGAGCAAGTTCAAGTCCAAAGCGACCAATTTATGAGATTTTTCTCAAAAAAAAAAAAAGTAAAAAAGAGCCAGTTGGTGGTGGCACACGCCTTTAATCCCAGCACTAGGGAGGCAGAGGCAGGCAGATCTCTGTGAGTTCGAGACCAGCCTGGTCTACAAGAGTGAGTTCCAGGACAGCCTCCAAGGCCACAGAGAAACAAAGAAACAAAAAAGTAAAAAAGAGAAGGTTTCAGATATAATTTAAATACTCACCAAACATGTGCAATTGCAATCCTCAGTACCACAAAAGGGGGTGCTACGCTAAAATAATGCAATTATAGAGCTGAAAACATAGTAGGGTGGCTGATAACAAGCTTGTGATTTGCCAGGAGTTTGGAATGGGAAAATGGATGTGGCCATTAATAGTGATGAGCCTTAGTGATGGCATCTTAACTAGGGTCACAGTCACACAAGGACACAAGAAGGGCAAAATTGCATCAGAATCTCTCTCTCTCTCTCTCTCTCTCTCTCTCTCTCACACACACACACACACACACACACACACACACACACACACACGTGAGCGCTCTCGCAAGCAAATATATGAGCCTAGGGGTGTGGTAAATGCAGCCTGAATAAGCTCTAGGGTTACTGTACAATAATTGTAAGATGGATGAAGGTTGTGGATAGGGTACAGATTTTTCCTGAACATTTCTTTGCAACTTTTGCAAATCTATGGTTATATAAAAATGTAAAGTCAAACACATATATGATTGATCTGAAGTCTTGGAGATTTGGAGAATGACTTCAAAATAGGCATTTTATACCAATCAAAATGTATACTATCTATGAACTTTCCATCATAGGCAAGTAACATGGGAATCCTTGGACTGTACCCCAAAGGCTGGTCCCCTTGCAATTCTGAAGGCTGAAAAGATGGTAAACATCAAACAGAATAGATAGTCATTCTCCTATTGGTGTCCAACAGGCTCCACGTGAACCACAACATCCAAAATGCGGGTAGTTTTGGAGAAACAATATTAGCAGATTGTAAGGCTACCATATGAAAAGATGGAGATTTTGAAAGAGGGGGAAAAAAGCATAGAAAGCCACAAGTCTACACATGGAGCAAAAGGATGGCCTGCCTATTAGAGCTTGGCAGAAAACTAAGCCAACTAAAACAAAGCTATGCTTTGCTGGGTGATCTGTACCAAAGAGCTCACAAATATTTTCAAGACAATTTCAATGAGTTCACAATTGTCAGAGCCATTCTAGGTTCAGAGCTAAATTTCTGATCTTAAAGTCTAGTACCAGAGATATTGGGAGGGGCAAGGCACTCACACTGACTCGAAGGAGCATTCTCCTTCCTTCCTTCCTTCCTTCCTTCCTTCCTTCCTTCCTTCCTTCCTTTCTTTCTTTTTTGAGACAGGGTTTCTCTGTGTAGCTTTGGAGCCTATCCTGGCACTCTGGAGACGAGGCTGGCCTCGAACTCACAGAGATCTGCCTGCCTCTGCCTCCCGAGTGCTGGGATTAAAGGCATGCGCCACCAACACCTGGCTTCGAAGGAGCATTCTTTACATTTGGAATAGCTTGCAAGCTAGACCTTAGCAGACCAGATAGAATAGTTACCATTTTACAGAACAAGCATTACTGGGAAAGAAGACAAAATGAAACAAAACGTGGCTGACAGAGGACAAAGCTTTGCCAAGGCTGAGCCTGGGTCAAGATTCTCTCCATGAAAGAATCTAAGTTAGGAAAACAGGTGAGGACAGGATGGAGGATGTGGAGGGTTTTCCCCGCCTAGAAAGCCTATAGTAAGAAGACATGAGTAACATGCTTGTCAGCTGAGCCAATTAAAGGGACAGGGTTAGCAGAGCACCTGCCTGCCTTGGCACAGACTTGGCCCTATTTGGACAACATTCCCATGCTTATGCTGTTATTTGTAAACATACTTGGCCTATGTGACTGCTTCACTCATATGCAAAATATTCATCACCAAGAAAAGATGCTGTGTCCTTGTGGTGAACACCAAAGCAGGGTAGGATTAGTTTTCGTAATGAGACAGTGGTGTGATGTCCTTTGAGGCAGTAAAAAGAAAGATTGCAGAAGGCATAGTGGATGAGTGCTGTGTGAAGATGGAGAGGACCAAGAAGGAAGGCTGTAAGTGCTGTTGTGGATTAGGTGTCATAGAGACAAGTCACATGACTAAAGGGAAGACACTCCCTTGGACGTGGACGATAAAACATCTATTTAGTAGATGGCAGCTTCTCTATGGTTGGCTCGTGATGAATACTCTCAGACGGAGTACACCTTCCCCTTCCCTGGGAGGATAGATACACACCGCTGCAGCCGTCCACACTGAGTACCATTCAAAGGGTCTTTATCTTCCGGGACTTCCCCAACTATTTTCAGACCTTTTTGTCCAATCTCCAGACTTGTACATTCAACAATATCCTTGATTTGGTGGGCATCCAGCTTAACTTGCCTCAGAATGAATTCTAGCTCTGTCCTTACCTCAACCTTCTCCACCTGTGGCTCTCCATCGTAGGATGGGAAAGTCCCTCTCGCTCAGATAAAAGTCCCAGCAAGTCATCTTTGACTCTTTCTTTTTCTTAATCTGTATTCAATATTTCCTCAAATCCTGTTGACTGTAGCTCATAATGTAACCAGTTTTCAACATCTCCCCCAATCCCACTCTGGTTCAAGCCATCACCATCTTTTGTCTGGGTTATTGGAAAGCCCATTGATTAGTTGGCTATGGTGTTGTACACCAGCAATCCCAGCACTGGGGAGGGCATGTCTGGAGGATTTTGAGTTCAAGTTTATAGGAAAAGCTCCTTAAACTCAGCAGCAACAAAACAACTCAGCTTACTAAAAGCACGTGACTTGAATAGACCTTTTTCCAAAGAAGATGTACCATTGAGCCCGTGGAAAGATGCTCAGCACCACTACTCATCTAAGAACAAAATCACAAGAATCCATGCCCACTGAGGCCGCTAGACTGAAAGAAGTCTGGATATGGTGGTGCATACCTTTAGGCCCACTCAGGAGCACTTGAGAGGCAGAGGCAGAGTATCTTTCTGAGTTTGATGGTAGACTGCTCTCCATAGTGAGTTCCAGGACAGCCAAGGCTACACAGAGAGACTCTGTCTCAAAAAAAGAGAAAGAAATGAAAGGAA